GGATGGGGGCTGGGCCCCTGTCCCTTTAGGGTGAGCCCCTGGTGCAACGTTTTTGCTGAGATGGGGTCTGCAGAGGGTCAAACCCAAATCACTTACTGCAAAGCGTAGCCCCCTCTGTTGAGGCAAGTGGGAGGAGCATTTGGTTTTCTGTCCTATGCATTTCAGGCAGTACGTTTTGGTAATTAATGTTATAGATGCTCAATGTAACTCTCAGAGGCCTATGTAGAGACGAATTCAGAATATTTAATATATGTTAGCAGGCCATTATTTACCACACCGAGATCTGACCGTCCAATTCAATTCAGCTCAACAATATTATTGAGCACTGTGTTCCAGACACCATGCCAGGCCCTGGAAACACGTGAGAAGTTAGTCAATAAGAGCTAATATGTCTGGGGTGCTTACTGTGTGTCGGGTGCTGTTCTAAATACCTTATGTGTATTCAAGACTATAATTCTAACAACTCATGAAGGCAAGAATGTTTATCTATTTTGTTAACTGATGTATCCCCTGCACCTAGAATAGTGTCCGGCACAGGGAGTCCCTTCATAAATACATGTGGGATGAATGAATCCTATGAAGTGTAGGTATTATGATAGCCATTTTGCAGACAAGAAGACAGAGGCAGAGAGGAATAATGTCACTTGTCCAAGGTCACACAGCAAGTAAGTGGCAGAACCAGAATTCAAACTCAGACAATCTGGCGTGGAGCCCACTGAGGCTGCGTTGCCTAGATAAAGGTCATGTGACCCTTCTGCCCTTTGCACCCAGCAAGCACTTGGCTCCCATTATCCCTAGTAAGAAAAATATTAAATTTGATAATAATGAAGAGCTAACATTCGTCAAATGCCTACTGTGTGTCGGGAATTCCATTACATGCTCTGTACACAATAACTCATTTAATCTTTACGTCACAACCACACTGAGAGGCAGTGTTATTCTCTCCTGCTTTGCAGAGGAGGAAACTGAGGCCCAGAGACCACGGTCATTGGCAGAGCCTCTCAAAAGCCTCTGTTCTTTCTACTGACCACATTGCTGTATGAGGAAGAACAGAACTCGGCTTCTTTCAAAAACTCATAGTATTAGACCAAACTTGAGAGAAACCATCCCATTATAAAAAAAATTGAGGCTGCAACTTGCTCAGGGTCACATGGGCCAGGACAGCATCAAAGTTTTGCCTAGTGGTTCTCTTGGAGCCAAAAATTGGGAAGTCTTGACATCTTATATATATGTATATATTGTGTGTGTGTGTGTGTGTGTGTGTGTATACATATATGTCATGTCTCCCCACGTGATTCTTGGAAGTTGCTTGAGATTGGCCCTCCTGAGCAGTCTCCTCAGGTCCTGTGCTATTTTGTTTTC